TCGGGGTTTTGGGTTTGGGGGTTTAGGGTTATATTCTGGTATTGTTAAATACCCCCAACAGCCCTGCAGAGCACTCCAACCTTGCCGCATCAACCACTGCATCTAAACACCTATCAGGGCATGCAGACTTAGTGAACATCTATCTCGCTCGGAGGATCGTGTGCGACAAGACGCATGTCGAATTCCCTATTCCAAGACCGCAAACTTGAATCCCAGCTCACACAGCCAAAACCCTGTTGTTCTACTGCTGATGATAAAAAAACCCTGCATTACCTTAAGGACTCGAAACTATGGGAATGCTGGTACATTCCTTATGATGGGTAATGCAGGATTTATATCATCAACCGTATTATGCCTGAACCCTAAATCCTAAACCCTAGAAGAACCCTAAACCCTAAACCCTATTCCCCACAGCAGTGCTTAGGAACTTTTGGGGTTGGGCCCATCAGCCGTATTACGCCTAAACCCTAAACCCTAAACCTAAACCCAAAACCCCCCCCCCAACAAAATTTAGGCAATTCTGAAGGCCCCATATGACGTCTTTCCTCAAGGGGCCCTTTCGTCTCTCAAAACCCTAAACCCTAAACCCTAAACCCTATACAACATACAACCCTAAACCCTAAACCCTAAACCCTAAACCCTAAACCCTATACAACCCTAAACCCTAAACCCTAAACCCAAAAGTGGGGGGCGCCTGGAGCTTCCATCCCCATCTCCCGGCGCCGCTGCTCCATGAGGAGGGTCGCGTAGAGGGAGCGGACGAACCTCGAAGAAGGATCGGCACATGGACCCCCCAGACCCTTAGGGCTTTGGGTTTAGGGTTTGGGGTCTAGGGTTTAGGGTTTGGGGTTTAGGGTAAATGGACCCCCAAACCCCCAAAATCCCCAAACCCTAAACCCTAAACCCCAAAGCCCCAAAACCCTAAACGCTAAACCCTGGACTACACCCCAAAACCCTAAACCCCAACATTTTAGAAATATGTGGTCGGAGAAGAAGAGTCGGGAAATCCAGCACTTGGGGCTCAAGGGGGTGGGGGGTTTAAAGGTTTAGGGTTTCGAGTTCAGTCCACGAGCTTGCTTTTTGGCAAACGTAGTGACTGTCTTGTTTGCAGGTCTATGCTGCCCTCGGCCCCAGTCTATAGCTGGACCCCTCTGCTGCTCTCCATCATCATCTTGGCACCATGAGAGCTCTGTTGGGAGCTCTTTGGGTTGAACGTATGGCTTTTTGGGCCAGGGGTGCAGTGCCCTTCGACAAGAGGGTTCAGAGCTTTGGGTTGGGTTTGGGGGGAGGGAAACGGTACAAGCACTCAGAAATCCTTGATTTTGGGCTGTGCACTTCTGCGGGCCAATTGTAACCGAAACTCTAAACCTTAAGCCCTACGAACCCTAAGTTAACCTCTCACTCCCCAAACTCTAGACCTTGAACCCTGAAAAACCTACACCTCCAAAACCTAAGCTCTAAACCGTAACCCCTGTAGACTACTATAGGGGCCTTAATAATTAGAATAGCGTTTTGGAGTATACTATACTATAATTTTCATAAGGAGCCCTCAAAAAAGCACAGGTAAATATTCAGGCCCTAGCTTAAACCCAACAGCCGAAAACGAAACCCCGAAGCCCTAACCTCTAAACCCAAAACCCCCTGTAAACCCTAAACCCCTAAACCCACGGTTTAGGGTTTAGGGTTTAGGGTAAACCCTAAACCCCAAACCCTAAACCCTAAACCCGGGTTTAGGGTTTATGGTTAACCCTGCACCCTAAGCCCTAAACCCTGAACCCGAGCCGAGGGGCTCTTTCACGGGCTTCAATCCGACGATGCCGTCCAAACGCTCTAAGGCAGCCTCAACGATAGGGCTCAGGGGTTAAAGGGTTTAGGGTTTAGGGAAAGATATTGGGAAGATAGGGAGCTTAAAAACTCGAGCGTAAGGTGTTGGTGAGTACTATACTGTAACCATGTATAGGGACTTTGCTGCATGTTGCTCAGGCCCGTATATGAAACACAACTTTTAGTGCTTGGGGCTCAGGATTTAAACTCTTGGATTTAGATTCTACGGTTTGGGATTCGACTTGGATTTAAGGTTTAGGATTCAGTCTCCAGGATTTACAGTTTACGGCTTGGGGGTTAGGGGTTTTAGGGTTTAGGGGCTTGGGGTTCAGAGCTCAGACTCTGCGATCTGGTGCTTAGGTTTTGGGCTAGGACTTAAGCGGCTTCTGGGCCGTGGCAACCGACGTCGTGGCAAAGGTCGCCAGCCTATGCAAAGCGGGAAAAATGGGGGTTTCCGAGAATAGGG